GAGGTTTTTTCTCTCCTTACTAAGGAGTTTTTGGTTCCTCTCCTCCGCTGTCTTCTGGTCTTCTGTTCTGTATTGACAAAATGTGTCGTCAATTGCATTGCTAAGCGCCACCCCTTGTTTAATCATTTCCAGTTACTCCCATAACACCGATACCGACTCCCCAACACCAAGACCAACAGATTTAAGTTCTCATTCATACCTGTAGCCATATCGTTACTTAACAATTGACCTCCTATGCAAATATGTATGTGTATTGCCTTTCCTCTCGGTTTTTTTTTCTTTGTCTGTCTGTACACCAACACTGCTGCTGTAAAAACCATTTGCTCCCCCCCCGGTGATAATATAGCCAGTGATTTCAACACATAGAGGGAAAGTTTGTAAAGGTAAAATAGCAGCTTTCATACTCCTAAGCCTCTGATATAGACCACAAAAGCAGGACAAGCACCTGACATTCAAAAAAAGAGCAACCGAGTTAGCTATTTAAGAGTCTGAAACTGTAACAGTGTAAAATATTGGAAGATCTATTGCATAATCTGGTTTGCTTGCTATCTCTTATCTACTTGATGTCCTGTTCAGTTAAGCCTGTGTCAAAGGGGAACCGCGGCTTTAGGGTCTGGCTTCTCTGCGGGAGGACTGTGTCCACGCTCACCTTCGCTTGATAGCCCGCCTGCGTCACCGCTGCCCCACTGCTCTGAGTGCAGAGCGGGAAGGCTCCACCACCTGGGAGAAGAGATGTGGAAATGAACGAGTTTTGACACGGAGAAAGAGCTGGGGTGGTAGATTGGCACAGTAATAACAAGTGTCTTTGTTGGAAACGTCTTCCATTTGTTATTGCTCTGTCAACAGTGTAATTCATCGGTCATGCCAATAAAGCTTGTGGAGTCTGAAAGTGATGGGGGAGAGAGAAGGCTGATGGACTGTCAGGGGGCATCTTTTTCAGCTTCAGTTTCTTTAATTTTTGCCACTGTTATTCTATTTGCATGTCAGGCGAAGAGCCTGTAATTGGGCAGTCTGGAGCCCTTCTCGTTTTCGAGATGACAGCTTTAATTTGTGCAGGGAACCTGAGGAGAGGCGCCTGTCTCGGTTTTTAATTGAATCTGGTTCAGCGGGGGGAAGCAGGGGAGAGGGCCTGCCTCTGTCCCGCGCGTCAGGGAGGGTTGGGAGAGCTGGCAGGAGGATCCAGTGTTGTACAAAGGCTCAGGAGGTGTGGGAGGAAGGGACACGCTCTGAAAGAGGGGGGCCTCGGTGACCACAGTCCGCCTTTTGAAACTGCTGCAACGTGGGATCTCCATTGTAGATCAGCCAGTGTGGGGAGTCAGGGTGAGAGCGTGAAAGAGGAAGATGAGGGTGGGAGAGAGGTGGCAGTTTATGATTCAGAAAGAATGAGCTTGAATTGTTGTTCGATCTCAATTCCCCATAGTTCAAAAGATTTTTGGCACAGTGGTTAACTTTGTAATGAAAGCTTGAAAAGCATTGCATCTGTAGGTGCGAACTCTGTAAACACTTAGGCAGATGCTGGGTCACTGCTGGTATGGCCCTCTGCTTCCAAGCAAGTCCTTTACCTTTACTGCATTATGGTTGTGCCGTAGCAAGACTTCTAAACTGTGGGACAGTTGTGATTAAACTGTGCTGATCTCAGTCTTCCGTCATTGTGTGCAGGTATGTGAACACCTTGCTGAAGCTGGTCCCGCAGGTGCTGCAGCTGCAGGAGCAGCTGAGGCAGGCGGTGCAGAGCGGAGACATGGAGACCTCACATGGCATCTGCCGTATCGCTGTGGCACTGGGAGAGAATCACTCCAGGTACACTGCACGCCTGAGGCAGCTCTACATAGCACTGATTACACACAGTGCTGTACACTGCACACTGGATACTGCGGTACATTGCACTGATTACACAGTGCTGAACACTGCACACCTGTTACAGCTCTACATTGTACTGATTACACAGTGCTGAATGCAGCACACCTGATACAGCTCTGCATTGTACTGATTACACAGTGCTTAACGCTGCACACCTGAGGCAGCTCTACATAGCACTGATCACATGCAATATGAGCACTGCACACCCGATACTGCAGTACACTGCACTGATTACACAGTGGTGAACGCTGCACACCTGAGGCAGCTCTACATAGCACTGA